TTGCCCTCCTTCCAGTAGCCCACATGTACCAGATGCTTCCCGAGCAGGAGAGACGAACTGAGGGAGCAAAAGGTTTACTGGTAACAGAAGGCAAATGTCGAAGGTGTCAAAGCAGAGCCAAGTTAACATGGATACAGTTTAAGTTCAACATTTTTAACATCCAGTAGCCACATTTCTATACCAGCTCACTGTTGTTTTGAGCTCAACTGTGAACTGTGTTGATATTCAGAACATCCTGTGGGAATTTGGGAAGATGGAAATAATATATAAATATATAATATAATAATAATAAAGCACATTTGTAAAATAAGACTGATTTGAAGGTGTTGTTCTTTCAAGGTTTTTTGTGAAAAGTGGATGGAAAAATTGCACTGAATCCACCCACAACCTCGTCATTAAACAACCTCTACCGTGTCTGGTAAACTTAAGGGGTTTTGAGAAAATAAGGTGTATGGTAACTTATTTCACTGGCATGGTTACAACAGATAAGGTGTATTACAGCCATTAAATTATAGGAGGGTCGTTATCTGGCAGAAATCATTAAGTGACAATACTGCTACCAACACACCAAAAACACTAACACACTAACACTTAAAATTAATAAGTCATTTTTAGGCTAAAAGTCTTGAAAATCTGCCAGTTAAAGCTTCTCAGAAGGAAGGATTTGCTACTTTTCTTTGTCTTGTCAGAGAGTCTTTGTGTTTTGGACTGCTGGTCAGCCAAAACCAGAAAATGTACAGACATCCCCTTGGGCTCTGAGAACTTGGGATGAGAGTGTTTTTTCACTATTTTCTAATACAAACCAAAAAAACAACAACCCAAAGACTAAATTTTTTAGATTAAAGAAGAAGATGGTTTGATTTCTTGTTCCAAAAAATTCTTTTCATCATTATTTATTACACACCGCCCTTCCCTACCTGACGATCCTCCCTCCTGTGACATTCTCCAGCATGTCACATAAAGTGAGGAAGATCCCCCTCACTCCTTTCAGCTGGCTGGATGCTTCAGACACCGGGTACTGGTACAAGATCTCCTCCTGCAGACACACAAACATACACTGTTGCTCTGTGTCATGGAAAACAGAGATGCAGCAAAGAGAAAAATCACTGGATAACATAAAAATGTCGCAAAGAATGTGAAATATCTGTTGCTGTATGCTACAGCCACCAAAGTTTATGGAGAGCAAAGAAGAATGAGGAGGTGAACCACTGGATGAACAATGATAGCCTGGTTTCAGTTTGACAGTAAAACCCCTTTTCACTTTGTAATAAAGAAAAATGTCACTAAACTATTTAACATGTTTGACTTTCCAGAGTAATAGTTCCTTTTCATATAGTTTTCAACAAAGTTATATGGTGATTATGTTGGAACTTGTCCCTGCAATCTGAAAGTCTGAAGGACTGAATGTTGTAGAAAAAAGTAAGAACAAGCTGCAGAGCAGAAATGAAAAAGTGCTTTGGGCAGATTTAGCGTATTGTTGTGATATTATTAGTATTCCTCCCAGCGTGCAACTTTGAAGAATACAGGGTGGATAAGAGCAGAGCTGCTGGGAGGATCAGAGGGTGCGGGAGTAAAAACCTTGAATGAGAGGCTCCTTATAGCCTTGGCAACCAGAACAAAGACACAACCAACTGCCTATGGAAGATATTCACCTTGGGGCCAAAGCCATGCAGATGGAGTCTGCTAAAAGTCTGAGTGCTGCTGAAAACCAAGCAACCCTTCAGCTACACCTTGTCTGTACAAAGAGGCAAATCATCACACAGTTACAACTCAAAAATACCTCTGTTCAACCTCTCTAATTTCTACTACTCTGCAATCAAAGGACTAAAATAAATCAAAGTCAGATTTGCAAAGTCAGTTTTTTTTCATGGCACTCTCATTCAGAAAACCAACCACTGGCTGATGTGGCTCCAAACAACCTGCGCTCTCTATCTCCACTGCAGCTTTGGTCAAGATATAAAAACAAATCTTGCTTCTACATATGCAAAAAGGAACTGGAGAACTATGAAGTACAACCTCAAAGAACACTTGCCAACAGTCATCCACAGAGAAAATCTGAGTGGAGTGTAGAAGGTGTCAGCCAGCAAACCGAACTAACAAAACACACACTCCGGAATTAACACTTGAACAGAGGCAAGCGGCGTCCAACCTTACGGGATATAAAACATGGATCCAATTAAAATAGGAAATAAGGTATTTTTGGACTGCTACACTTCATCCAAAAGGGGAATGTGTGGATTCACTCCGGAGAGAATGAAGTTCACAGCATTAAAATTACAGATCAGTTACTGACAGGAGCTGTGCTCATGACTTTCACTCTGTTTCCTGTTAGCAGGCGCTGGACGCTGTCCAGAGCGGTGGTCTGACTCACACCAGAGAAAGCTTTCCATTTCTAGACTTGAGAGTTCCTACACAACTAAGGTCGCTCTTAACACTCGACTGTCAGGATACAGCCCCTAACAATGTAGAGGATTAAATAAGCATGTTCAGTATAGCTCAGTATTTTAAGGCTGCTCAGAGTCACGAGCACCTTGGATGAAAATGTCATAATCAGCTTTCCCCGAGACCCATTTTCTTTTCAAAGAGATGGAAAAAATGTGTGGTCATCCACAGCGTAGATATCAACAAAAGCCTTCATGTGTTGTCTATTCTATCAATTTTATTTGTTAGATTTCTTGGCAGTATTTAAGCTTCGTTTGTCCTCTCTCACTGTGCACCTGACTGGCTCTTTTCAATGCTCCCTCTGTGTTGTTTTCAATAGCAACCCGTTTCAACCAGAGGAACTCAAAAACTCTGGATCTTGACTTGCATTTCTACTAAATTGGTCTAAATTTGTTTTTTGGCTATAGTTGTGATATTGAATATCAGTGACTGGTCAAACACACTTTCCTTTTGCACACCAAACACAATGCTGTTTGCAGCTGTTTGTTCTCAGGGCAAGATTAACCACAGAGCCACAGAAGGGATTTTATGATCGCTGGACTTGATGCCATCATTTTTATGCTGCCATCATTGTAGCTGTATAGCAACTGTAATTAGGTCGGAAACAGCTGACAGTTTTTGATATGTCAAATAAATAACTAGCATAACGTTTGCAATGGAAACACAGAAAGCAATGTGCTGCTGAAGGAACCTCGATCGTGACTTTAGCTTGGGATTTACTGTCAAAATGTGGCTACAATGAAATTTTAAATTTAGCAGATATAACTTTTGACAGAGGTCTTTACTATAATGAAGGCTTGTGTTGTTATTTGTCATTCATCTTTCTCTGTGCTAAAATGCGTAACGACCTATAAATATCTCGTTGTGCATTTTAAACAAACTCACCTCCTCCTGAGGTGATGCTGAGTCCAGTTTAAGTGACAGGTACATGACAATGTGTGGGATGTGTCTTATTGACATCTGGAGTTCGGCCGTGTCCTCCCCCCACAGCAGACGCACCAGCTGGCTGACTGGTGGAGAGGCCTTTGCCTTGCGGATTGATGAAATGTCGTTAGTGCTGCTGCCATCCACCAAGGCCACCGTCTCCAAAGTCAGCCTCACCTGGAAGAGGTGGCAAAAAAAGAGATGAAAAATAATAATGGTTTTGAAATCCAGTCATGGAAAAATGGATTTGAAAGGAGAAAAGAAAGAGATGTTGTGTTGGGATTAGACTAATTTCTTTAAGAAAGAACAGACATTTGGGAAATAATAAAGACTAGACTAGAAAAAACAGCTATCCTGTTATAGCATCATTGCATCAGCTTGCCAGCTAGTCCCTCAGAGTTTTCATTCATTGCTAAACATGGTTATACTTAGTGAGGGATTTTAACAGTGTTTGTGTCTGTTGTAGGAAAATATAGGTGTGCATGTGTACTGTGCCTCCAAAAGGGAGAGGAATTCAAACATTACATTCAGTCAGAGAAAAGGCAGAAGTAAATAGTAGGATGGCATTTGTCAGAGAGAAAGTGACACCATAACCACAGCATAACAAATAGCAGGGATCTGTGTGTGTGTGTGTGTGTGTGTGTATGTGTGCGTTTGACTAAATTAAAACCAGACTACTGCGAGCCTGACAAACAGTGGCCTATCTTCCCCTGTGCAAGTTTTTTTTCTATCCATATCCCAGTGCTCAATTTTACATTGTCATTCATATCAAGTCACAGTGGAAACATAAACAGAGCTGCACGGAAATTCAACAAGCACGCACATTGAGAACATGGAGTCAAGATGCACAGAAGAATGAGAAACTACAACTCCGTGACGTCTGTGTTAAAGCAATCTGTCACGTCTAAATTGAAATCTTGTACAGTCAGTGAACATCAAATTATATCAAGCAGAGGCTGTGGGTCGACCTCACATAGTAAGATACACACGCCTGGAGAAATCACTGGACTGATTTGAATGAAAAAGATCAGTTTTCATTCAATCAAAACTTGGATCCAGTGATTTAGGTTCAACTTTCTGCAGACAATCCCTTTAACAAAAACTTCAAACAAAGGCTTCATACATAGGTATGCCATGGTGGCGTACCTGTTCCCACACTGTGCTGCTGACTCTGGGCTGAAGCCTGTCAGCACTACAAAGGTCGTCTACGGAGCCAAGCTGATGCTAATTCAAGTAAATCAGAAGCAGCGTCCAGATGTGAGAAAGATCAGCAGAATGTGGTTAAGACTGTTCAGGTACGACTGGTTAGGAGGAGGTAAAATTTTATTGGTATAGTCAAACAGAGTGACACCATGGGCAGCTGCACTGGAACAGGATCTTTCAGTAACATATGGAATGGTTTATATTTTATAGCCAGGTTGTTGATTGTTTTTCCATATTGGCCATATTACAGATTTTAGGTTAAAGTTAGATACTCCATACAACTGCTGTCATTTAAAAACTGCAGTCCAGTTGCAAATGAACTCATCTCAAGCCAAACAGTGAAGATGCACAGTGGCCAACAAGTAGTGCGATGCTTAAAAACGGTTGTTTACCCAGGTGAACGCTGTAAATGTTTAAAATGTGGTTGTTTGTTGTGCAGTTTTTTTTTCTACACTAGGGAAATCCAGCCTTTGTCTCCCAGAGCTGATTCCAGCTTAAGGTTTTTGTGTACTATGAACCAGCTGCTGCCAAAACACCAAAGACAAACAGCCTCACCGCACTCTGTCCAAACTAAGGGTATAAAAAAATTCCTAAAGAAGTCGCGTGTAGCTGGGACACCTCCTTAAAAGGAATCTTTATGTATAAGTTAATGTGAAGTGGAGCCAGAGATGTGGTTTACTGTTCAAAGAAATATTTATGCCAGTTTTTGCATTTTGGTTTAACTTCTATGCTGTGTAAATCTGATGCAAGGGAAATATCGAGGCAGTAATGCAGGCGGAACAGTCGAGGTTCTGCTCGGATTTGACCTCAAACCGCCAAAGACCTTGCAGATCCAGTTATGATTTTTCATCACTCTATCGTCACTGAACAGGCCACGACTACGTTTTGATGTTTGACTGAAACACAAAATGTGAAACATGCCATTTACTGAGCACTCTCTGACCACGTACATTGTTTTTGGAGTTTTTGGAATGTCCGACCTAAAACAGGGGGAGGTCCGGGTCCTAACCCAGGCTGTGTTTGTGTCTGTAAGTAACCTAAGAAAACTTGTTAGTATGTTCAGAGAAACAGTGCTGTGGTCATTAAAAATGTAAGCTATATATTCTTCTCAATCCTACACTGTGATGCCTACAAAATATATTTAAGATAAAAAGATACTCCCTGGTCAGAAATGTTGAAACTGTATTTTTCTGATCCAGCGATCACTCTCCAAAGCCTGTCAGCACTAACCACAGGCCACCCGCCTCTCCAACAGGCACCCACATGTGGGCCCCCAGCCATTTTAGCCCACTTTAGGGCTATTATTAAAGAAGCGCCAAGTAGCGGTGGAACACCATGTGATTTACCTTTCAATTGGTGAGTATGAGTGAGAGGAAAAAAATGTAAGACTGATTTAAAAGCTACTGTATCCTCAATATGTCAGGATTCATGAAGGATGCGAGAAACAGTTTTGATTAGACTGAGCTCAGGGCACCAAAGCCAGACACGAAAATAAGGTAGAACACTCTCAAACAGGCAGAAATCAATGCGTGAAGAGGTTGAATGGGCTAACTGCAGCGCTTTCCTCATAAGTAATACGGCTGTGGCAGGACTGGAGTGTGCTCTCACTGGAATTCCAGTCTGTTGATGTCAGTCATTTAGCACTCGCTCAAGGATGGACACACACAAAGAAGTACCCAAAGTTCAACCAGGGTTTGTAAAGGGCTGAATTTAATACTAATATTTGTTCCTTCAAACGTAATGAGCACTGTCTCCGTTCCATCTGGGAGGCATGCAGAAAAAACACACATGCGCTCACTAAACAATCGTTCTGTCAGAAATACAACTCCATTATCAGGTTTTTTTTAAAGTCATCGTGGTGACTGAGGGTATTTTTCCAAAGAATCTCTGTCGCTATTTCCTTACAGTGTAATTTAGTTTCCGGCTGCATCTTCTAATCATTTGAGCTTTCAATCCCACAACAGCTTCCTGAGGCACCGAAAAGAGTCATACCGCAGTCCCATCTATCCGCCGTGCTCGCCATCAACCCTGTACACAGTCTGTCATTTGCAAATTCCTACTTTTTGGATAATCTGCTTTCTGTGTGGAAAATGTAAGCTGGGGCACAGACTGGAGTTTTAGCTACTGATCAAAGGATCATTTCTGAGTAATTGAGGGTTTTCTAATGTTAAACGGCACCAGCCCGTTATAGCAGCTTAGAAGAGCCAGTGCATTTCCAAGTGATTTCATGTCTGTGTTTGCTGTCCAAGTTGACAGATAATGATTTGAAATGCTCTCTCACAGATTTGGAAGGTTAATTCAACATGGAAAAGGGTTACACAAAACGATCACATTATGGGCTTTGTAATGTAGTTAAGATTATAGTAATGGGTGGATGTTATTGACTCTACAAACAACGACAAAAGGTTGTGTGCACATTGAGGATTTACTTGGTTTTTGGTAGATTCACACACACTGACCTGTGTCGGACCTGGGATGCAGGACAGAACCCTCTCGATGTTTTCCGAGGTCACGTCCACATCATCCACAGCAACAAGCACATCACCTGAACACAGCCCGCCGAAAAATAAACATGCATCAGTAGCAGGCATGGGTCAAATAGTAAATAGTATGTTTAACCATCTTAAAGTCCCACATAAATATGGGTTTGACACATAAATTAAGCACAAAGCAGATGCGGGTAAGTATAACACTGTCCACAAGAATGGGAAAGAATGAGAGTTTCCCCACAAGTTATGCTACACTGACAAATTATTATTATTTTTTTAATTATTTTAATACTGTATCAAAGCACTGTGCCTTCCTCCTTTTGATACAATCCAGTCTCTTTCTATTGCACAAAACTGATATTAGAGGGCCAGAAAACAACAGAAAGCACCTCACACTTTGCCTGCCTGGTATTTAGCGACATAGAATGTGTTTGGTCAGCATATGTGGTCAGTAAGAACACTCAGGATAACTTGATTGATCGTGCCAATGATGTGATTTTGACCCGTACACTGGCCTGTAGAGATCCAGTAAATAACCAGTAAAGAGCTTCACCTGCTTGTGTGCAGGGAGGCACACCACTGTCGCAGTAACAGAGCTATTTCAGGTATTTAACAACTCTAATTGTTTAAGCATGTAGCTGGCTGCATAAAAGCTTCTCTAAACAGTAACTCATGTCCTTTCCTCTCCTATGCTTCTATATGCCACCATTACACATCACTAACTTTGTGTCTCCTCTCTCCCTCTCCCTGTCCCTTTCTGGCCCTGGAGCTCTACGTCTCTGACGAGCAGTCACCAGCCACATCGACCTGATCAGTGTTTGATTGTTTGTTGTGTCTTGTTGCTTTTCTTCTTTTGTCTCTCCTCTATCCACTCACCCCAACCGGTTGAGGCAGAAGGCCGCCCACCAAGAGCCGGGGTCTGTCAGAGGTTTCTTCCGTTAAAGGGAGATTTTCCTCCCCACTGTTGCCAAGTGCTTGCTCAAGGGGGAATTGTAGGGTTTTTCCTCTATAATATTAATAATAGTAAAGTCTAGACCTTACTTTTTAAAATGTCCTGAGTCTGCTACTAAAACTTGCCCAGCCATTAGCCGCGATAGCAGAAAATCACTGCTGAGATGCTGAGCTTTCAAACAGACAGATTACATTTCCTACAGCAACAGACCTGCCTTCAGAGCTTCATTCACTCTTCAGCACTGTGCTGAAAGTTTCACCAGGTCTGATTATGGCTGCTGCTCAGAGCTGGAATGAGAAGTAGCTATTACACGTCCAACCAACACTAACATGAACTTTGCGGTTTTACAACACGGAGCTAAATACTGAAACTATGATGATGATTTGTATTGCTTTGTCGTTGTTACTATGGATTCATCGCACTGAAAGAGCTTGGCTATAATTAGATGACATGATGCATTATAAAAAATAATACAGCCTCAACATATTCCTTCTGATAACAGTTAGATTGACTAGATGTTGTACGTTATGCTCATTTATGTTTTTTCTTAAGAAATCTCAGTGTGTGTTACTATGACTATGTTGCAATAATTGCAGCGTGTGCTTTGGCAGTACATTTGTATGGTGTGGAAATGAATGAGTCAGTGCTAGTTCATGACTGTTACTGAAATCATAACTGCTGCAATGCTGCATTTTCCCTGTCATGAGGGTAATAGGTTCTTTTTGAGAATGATAAGAGTACTTTTGCCAAGTTCAAGCTTCTCAAAATACATTTCATTGTTCAACCAGGAACTTTTTCACAAAAGATAACTCTTGACCTCTCCTGAACACTAGAAGGAATAGAGCATCCTTTGTTAAGAAAGATAACATGCTTTTGCTACTACCCCTTTATGAGAAACCAAGCTTGTAACTTGACACAATCTACAAAATATTAATTTGGAGTACTGAATAACAAACAAAACTTTAACTGTTGGAATTGTGGTCTTACCAATTAGGATTTGGCCACATTTGATGGCCGGGCTGTTGGGTATTAACCCATGAACAGTCAGTCTTTCCTCCTGTTGGACAGCTGCAGGGTCTGACTGCCCTCTGCTCCAGGAGGGGTGATGTACCACCCCCAGCAGAGCCTCTAACAGGCCTCCACTGTAAGAGAGAGGTGTTGATGGACCCCCAAGACGTTTAGGGTTGAGGTAGACACACACGTCCTTCAGCTGCTGCTGCTGAACAATCACGCCCTGCCTTTGACCTGGCTGGTTCTTCAGAATCGATGCCGGTGGTGATAAAGTTGAGCTGTCCTTACTGCCATCTTTCCCTCCTCCCCTGCGCTGAGATGGCCGGCGGTTTCTCCTCAGGAGTCTGGCTAGCCTCTTAAGCATAGGCTCAGCTTTTGTCCTTGAACTACATCGCTGCTTCTTGCTTTGCTCCGTGATGATCTCTGCCTCCTTTTCACTAAAGCGAACATGATTAGTGGACACACCCTGTACGGCGTTGGCCTGGGCCAGTGCAGCCTCCTCTTCACCTTCACTCAGCTCCAGGTAGAAAAGCTCACCGTTCTTCTGAATGTCATCTAGCCATTCTGGTTCCAAGTCACTGAGAGAAAGCAAACAGCGCACCGGAACAAAGCTAATGTCACAAACAAAGCAGTGTTAAACTGGGAAGAGAGGGTGCAGTGGTGTGAAAGACAGAAGTGCTGATTATTGTGATACAGGACTAGATATCATTTCAGATTGTGATATAGCTTACATGTTGTCTTTTCCTGGTCTTAATAGCTCTGTTAAAATAGCCAAACCCTCTTAATTTTTGCTGGTTTTCAGCTTCTTCCATTATTGTCCAAAAGCTACTATATGTACAAACCCTAATCATGTGCTTGACCAAACTGGTGGCAGTAAACACTAGATTTATTTTGGGGTCTCTCTCCTTTTAAACCTGCTTTGAAGAATGTGTGGTAGGCAGCCATAAACTCACCAAGGATGGCAAGAAGCCTACAATTATTTATGAAGGTTTACCTCCCAAACTGAAAACACTTCCCAAGGCTATGAAAAGCACAAGAGATGATAGATGGAAACTGTGTGGATGGGGTGACACTCCCTCTTTGGAAAAGCTGGTCGCTGCCTTCACCAGCACTTATAGCTACAGACCAACTATCTTTGCGTGTGTGAGTAAATTATATAGAGTAGCCACATACCACAACTACGTTTAATATCTATAAAATAAACCACCAAAATGACTGGTAAAGTATCAAGTTACAGCATCTCCACCTCACAAACAATGCTAACTTTTATGTGGTCTAGCTTGTTCAACCAGACTCATTTTAGCAGCTTTAAAATATCTCATACTGTCACTGCAAGTGTAAACGGTTTTTAAGTCTCTAAATCAAATTATCTTCTTACTCAGCTCCTTCGGAAGTCCTGAAACTCGATGATGTGGATTCACAGTCATTCCTGTCGTGTTCTTCTTCCGTCTGAGCCACATAATGAGTTTTTTCGGCACACTGACTGGTACTTGCGATTTCCATTAGATTATACAACATATAATTTGACCACGCAATCACAAAATGTCTTTATAAGCTAAACTTTTAGGAAACCGAAGGATGATACTCTCTCGCCATATTGTCAGCGTTGACGAGCGCTTCGGTAGCATCAGGTGACTCGTATGCGCCTATCTTATTGGTGGATAGTACGGTTGCCCCTAACAACGCAGAAGCTTTGTGAGTAGCCAGGTAGGAAAGCGCGGCCATGCGCCAGTGTCATTAGCATCCCGTTAAATAATGTATCCACCATACACAAAACACCAAAAACCTCCTCACACTATAGTTACAGGAAACGTAAATTGAATTAACATTGGTTATGATATGCAATTTTATACCATAGGCTACTGTGCTATTACAAACCAGTGGAAGCAGCATAAAAACAAAATTGCTAGCATGAAGAGTAGTAAAATATATAACAGCCAGCTTATGTCGCTTCAAACCAACTTCCGATTACCACAATAATGCAGGAGTTGTATATAGTGTAGAGTCTATACTGACCTGTAAAGGAGAACACTGCGAACAGAGTCGAAGTCCTCCAAATCTTTAGAGAATGAACCTCCATCTATAGAAATGTTAAACATCATTTGTGTTTCATATTTTCGCCAGGACGAGCGTGGCCAACCAAACTGTATTAACTGTCAACGTTCAGTTCCTGAAGCTGTAATTTAACCCCCTACTGGAGATTAAAAAATAAAGGTTTTGACAACTGTCTGTGCTGCGCCAGCGACAAAATCAAAATTAATCCCTTTCCTCTGCCTTCTCAAAGTTCTGAATGTTTCTCCAGGCCGGCAGAGCGGAATTTGTCCCAGCGGTAATTCTTGGCAGGTAGAGTAAAACCCGCCTCCTCTGGGCTACCAACAAGAGCTCAGCAGCCAGGCCTCCATTTGTACACTCATATAAACAGGGTAGTACGAGAATGTCACTGTGCATAATCTTGGCAAAAACCCCTACTAAAAATTACTTCAGTAAATATAATGTTGACTTATGTTGCGTGTTTAACATATAATATCCATCTTGAGAAAAATGCCCAAGCGCATTAACTCATTTGTGCAAGTAAGTGAGTTGTTCCAGTGGTCACATGAATGTTTCTGGGGAAATTATTTGAAATGTAGTTCCAGTAACTAAATAGCACAAAAATATTAAGCAAGGCCCTAAGAAGAGTAAAACAGTGTACTGAACACATAGTCTATTCACATCATTTACATAAGTAAAAATACCACTATCAGAAAATAAAGGTACTGGATTGCAAGTCCTGTATCCAGTTTACTTAAGTAAATAAATACAAATATAATCAGCAAAGAGTGCATTAAGTACCACTGGTGGAAGAAGTTACTCTGTTACAAGTCAAAGGCCAGCATTCAAAATGATACGTCAGTAAAGTATCACCTTCAAAATATATTTAATGATTATATTTTTTTGATTATAATTACTTATTTGTTTTGTGTATATCAGCACACTGGGGTCGGCCAGATTGATTGATTGTGCTAATGGAAAAACATTAGCTATATTTCACCTCTGTCAATTACCACACATTTAAAACAAAGTACAAATACCTCAAAACCACACTACACGTGACTAGATTGTTAAAAATCATAATGCATAAATAAAATTACTACATTTTAAAAGCAATATTAAAACATAAATTTCAAGCTATTTTAATTATTTCGTTAACTTTTGACATCAATACGCTACCACTCCGACCATACTCTTACCCTCATTGTCCCTAAAAGAGACAAAGAACGGTCATTAATTTTACTTTTTAGTCTCACACACACACACACGATGTCCTCAAACCCACAATACACGTAACTAGATTGTTAAAAATCATAATGCAGAAATAAAATCACTACATATAAAAAGCAATATTAAAACATACATTTTAAGCTGTTCTAATTACTTCGTTAACTTTTGACATCAATGCGCTACCACTCCGACCATACTTTTACCCTCATCGTCCCTAAAAGAGACAAAGAACGGTCATCAAAAGCGAGAAGCATTGAAATAAATCAAGCTTTTCCGCCCGTTTCACGCTCAGGTAAGAGTATCATCACCTCTTCATCGTGGATAGCGAGACTGACACTTTAGAAACACATTTCTCAAGTCTGTAACTATAGAAATGATCCCTGAAAGTATAGTCTTACTGTGGTAGTGCTCCTGTTCTACTACTAGTATGACGACCCTGGGCTTCTCTATCATGGTGCATAAACCACATGTACGCTCACTGTCTTCTTTTTCTGGACAGCCTCGCCAAAAAGAAAATCTAAAGTAAATATCGTGTGCTACATCGGAAAAAGGTCACAATATGTACAAGTGTGTGTGCATTTTAAGGATACAAGAACATTTTAAAACGAGTAATAATGTCCACCACTGCTTCCAAATACATATATATATTTACACACTTTTATGGCAAATATTGAAAACACCGCCAACATTCAACACACATAATTTTACACATATCCAACAAATGCTAATCCAATATCAATTTGCTTATACCTAGTACATGCTTGAATGGAGAAGGAAGAAGTCAGACTTATCCAGTCCTACCCCATGACATATAACCCTATTATAAGCCTTGTTTTCAGAGTCAAAGCTAAACAATCCTCCAGACATGTACACCAACTTGACTCAGGTGTCACGCAATGTAAAATAACTTTAGACAAAAAATGTTACTGAGAAAAAGACGAAATAAAGCCCCATTTAGCGTTAGGAAACACCAGCTAGTAACAGCCCCCATAATTATGACCGCCCCATCTAACTTGTTTACTTTACTATGACGTCAATTATATGCGCCAAACACGTTCAGAATCTGAAGGCGACTTCTACAATTTTAGTGTATAGCAGTCATTTGTTGTTTGTAATGTGTAATTTAGTGGTAAATTAGCCAGACACTATATGAGCTGTAACAGTTAGAGTTACGATGCTATAAAATATGACTTTTTAGTCACACACACACACACGATGTCCTCAAACCCGGTGTTCTTTGTTGAGCCCATGAAAGACATCAAATAATTGACTTTTGCTAAAAATCTAGAGAAATGTTGGGCACTTACAGAAGTTTTCTTCGTATGCAGTAGCTAAAGGGGAAAGCAGCAAACTGAAATGGCACATATTCCCTATGATATGTGTGAAATTCAGTTGAATGGAGTTTCAGAAGCAATGGATCTGCTTCACATAGATGTGGAGCACGATGTGGTGGATGTCAAACCTGGAAGAGATGTACCGTATTCAGTAAGTCTGTTAAATGTTACTAATCAAAATAAATAAGGACTGTTTCAAAACCTCTTTAACCATGACTAGAGATGTTCATTGTCGGCTTATTAAAACATTATTATTATTAATCTTTAATCTTGCATAGTTTTCAAAGGTAGCTTAATTTATTTATTGATTACTTCAATATTTGACAAATTTTGTTGTCAAATATTGCCACCCTTCAAAAAAAGCTAAATAAAATATAATTTCTCTCAGGATCACAGTATAAAAACCATTAAAAAATGAAAACCGCAAGAAAGTATATAGGAACACCAGAAATGTATAGACATATCAAAGCCACAATACAATGAAAATCTCATCATTTTAGTTTAGTAATTTTAGTGTTTTTAGATTTCTGTGGTTGTTGAAAATCTGTAAACATGGGTTTTTCTGTAACAGAGGAATGTACTGAGGAAGCAGCGACACTGGGAGAGGCAGCTCGCTGCAAAGAAGAGCAAGAGGAAAGAAGAGAAGCAGAGGAGGAAGCTCAACCGTGGGCAGGAGTCAGGTAAAGATCAGGTCAAGAAAACCAACACAGACTTTGTTGTTTTAGGATGGAAAAGTGAAAGTCATTTACATGTTTTCATCTATAATCACCTGTTTGTGTTTTTGTCATACAGGGGCAAGTGCTGATAGTCCTCATCTTACTAAAAGGGTCATCAAGGCGATAACTAAAGAGCGTTTAGCTGAGGCCCAGTCCACAGGACTCAAACTCTGTGTTGACCTGAGTATGACAGATTGCATGTCTGACAAGGTAGGCCTCTGATGAGCAAGACCTGAAACAGTGTTACCTCTCCTACAACCTGTTTTTAAGAATTTGAAGGCTGGTTTTGCTTGAAGTAATAGTTTAGCAGTTATACTCATTTACAAAGGGAGACATTACCTGTCTGTATTCATTCACTTACCTTCAACTGCATATATTTGTCCGATTTAGGAGGTAAGTCGGCTGGCTGGCCAGTTAAGAAGGCTGTACGGGTCGAACAAGAAGGCAGCTCGGCCGTTCCACCTGTTCTTGACAGACCTGAGAGAGAACAGTCATTTCTACAGAGAGTGCATACGAATGAACGATGGCTTCCTCAGCTACATGGTAAGTACTGTAGATCACACCTTGAATGCACTGGTAAACTGTAGTAGTTATGTTTTTCCTAATCTCCAGTGTTTAAATCAACTTCCTGGCAGTAGTGCTCTAAGGATGTGAAGTTTTATGTCATACGTAAGGTACACAGCTGTAATCTCTAGCTGAAAACAGTAGGGCCTGATAATAAGGCCTAAGAATATTTTTATGGAACAATTACATTTTAAAAATGTACATTGTAAACAGGTCAAAGAAGTTAAACTGGTACTTTATGATTATTTCACAGATATTTTACAAACTTCCAAGAGCATTTGTGCCATAAACATTCATCAATACTAGCTACCCAATAGCTACTGAGTATTTTTAATCACATCCTCTGTAGTCTGGACCACAAATAGTTTGAATATTTAGCGACACAGTCAGATATATTTTCATTTTCTTTGTTGATTTATTTCAGATGGACATAACAGAGGAAAGCTGTCTGGACCTGTTTCCACCAGAAACTCTAGTTTATCTCTCTCCAGATGCTGAAGAAGGTTTGAATGATTTGAGTTAATTGTACTTATCAGTTAAATTAGTGCAGCATTGCAGTGTTTTATTTATTGGGGGAAATTTCATTTTGTAAAATACTGTATGGATGGAATTTTTTTTTTTAATCATCAAAATGCATCTTTTGGCCAGCAGAGGGAGCCAACTGGCCACATTCATACAATCTGCTGCTGCTATGCTACTATTAGTGATAAAATGTTTTGTCTGTAGTAGTTTACAAAATAATATTCACACCCAATAAAATATAAGAATACTCATAGTATAAGAACTATTCAGATTTAAAAATAAGAAGGTACATTCAGCGAGAATAATACTAAATCAATTTCTAGAGAAATGCTACTTAATGTGCTATAAGCATTCATATTTCCATATTCACTATTGTTGCTTGTTTGAATCTCTTAGATTCTATTTTTTATTTGTTGTTTTCAGCTTTGTGTCCTCGGTGGTCTTGTGGATGAAAGCATCCAGAAGGTATAATATACAGTATTATGACAGATTATAGCTGGACAGCACAGGAACCACATACAGTAGCAGTCACTCCATCAGGGAACATTCCCTGAAGGTTCTGTAAAGGTTTTTCAGAGTAACTTTTACAAACTAATGGTTTTTTTGAATTTGTGTATAATTAACTTTTTTTCCATTCAGGTCTAATAAAGTCTCATAACTCTGGTTCTTAATGCAGCATATGTGATTTATTAAATGCTTTACTTTTTACTCCTTCCTCTGCAGAAGCTGAGCTTCTCACGGGCCAGAGAACTGAGCGTCCACATGGCGAGGCTGCCCATAGACGAGTACATGGTGAAGAAAAACAATGCCAAGAATTTCCATTCCAAGGTCCTGGCAATTAATCAAGGTACTCAATGACGCTGGTCTGCAAGACAGCTGAAGTTATTTTTTTACCTGTTTTGTTTTTTATTAATGAAGCGTCTCTCTCTCTCTCTCTCTGTCCACAGTGTTTGATATCTTGTTGGCTTTCCGTGACACTGGCAGCTGGACCAAAGCCCTGCAGACATGGTTCCCACAGGGAAAGGGTTACACTGTTGTACCAGATGATTCCTCACCACTTACTGTAACACAGACTTTGGATTGATGGCATTATTTTTATTGGGGCTTAAAATAGGAGCTCATGTAACAGGACAATAAGAGAACAAAACTGTGCCTGAGGTACAACTGTATGCAATTCAGTGCAACACTTCCACCTTCACATCTGTTTTTATGAAGCTCAAAATGTTTCAGTTTTTGGTGAAATTGTCATAAATATATAAATTCAATTATCTTTATTAGTAAGGTCATAGTTAAAGGTGGCATTGCACTGGACTACATTATATTCAAAGGTGTTCCTAATATTCTGACCTTTTCATGTATGTAGCTGGGGAGGACAAAAATATAGAGAAACCTCTGAATATAATTCAGTCCAGTACAACACTACCTTTAAGTGTGACCTCAATAATAAACATACAATTGAATCTTAGCTAAACAGTGCATTTCATTCTGCTCCTTATTTACTCCTCTGAACTCTGCGACTTTAATTTGACTTTAGATTAGGGTGAAGTCTTGATTTAAGTTCAAATTCCTCTTCACTCTCGCACTCTGCCTTGTTTAGCTCCCTCACTTTTCCTACTTCCTGTCTCTGTAGGTGCAACGACTTTTCCTTTGCTCCCTCTGTCACATCTTTCTAATGCAAGACCTTAATGGGGAATTGATCAAGCAAATGATCATTTGTGAAGCATCACCAAAACAAGTATAGCACAGAAACTGTGTTACATATTAGGATATTACAAATAACAAGCTCATACGACCAAACTCCAGTACTGTAGAATGATTTTTATTTCAGATCACACTTCACTTATCACAAATACAATTAAACACCTTATGCACACAGCAGGTTGCTTCCACTCATACATAATGACACCTTTCCCACCACCTGCCCCCCGCCCACCTAAATTATATAAATCAAGAATCAACTCCAGAGGAGTTATTCATAAGAACCTAATTAAAATTAAGATGACTCCTCTTATAGTAGAAAGTAATAGGACAATCAAATGTGGACTATTAAATATCAGATCTCTCTCATCTAAATCTCTGTTAGTGAATGATTTGATAAGTGAACATCACATTGACTTATTGTGTCTTACTGAAACATGGTTACAGCAGGAAGAATATGTCAGCCTAAATGAATCCACTCCACCTAGTTACAGTAACTGTCACATCCCTCGAAACAGAAATGAAAACCTTAGAAACCTTAGCTTTATGCTTGACTCTTGGGAAGCGCTTTTCCTTGCTGATGTAATTGTTTCTCAAGAACAAAGTGGATCAGTTTCTTCACCCAGGACGACTGAGGATTCAGACACACCTTCAGCCCGTTCCCCAGTCCAGCTCTGTTTAAAAACACAAGTTTAGTTTTATTAAGGTCAGAACCATAGCCAGGGTTAAACTAAGTCCTCAGAGCAACCGCACCCACTCAAGATATTTTTAACTAGCCAGCAAACACTTTTCTGCTTCCTAGGGCTTTTTCACCTTATTGACAGTATATTAATTTAACTGTTAAATTAAAGTTTATGTAAATTTTGTTCAGTCAGATTGCTGTGACAAAGGTAAGGCACACTTTTGACTGCCAGGCAAATCAAAGTGCTTCATAGCGCATAAAATAGCATTATGACAAAATTTAAAAAAAGAAACCCATAAAGGTAATATTAAAAAAAAGGTTTAAATAATAAAGAAGGTAAAATTGATAACCTCAAATTTAAATTAATGGCAGAGTCAAATAGAAGAGTTCGGAGTACAGACTGCTGTTGTGCTGTAATATGTGTTGCAATATTCCTACATCTTCCCTACATTGGGTGGAGAAGCGAAATCTCTTTTATTTGACCTTGTTGATTACACATGACACTTTTTTGTGTCTGTAAACTTATGTAGACATCATTAAAATTCACAAGAACAACACCAGCCATGACCTTTGTGCTATTTTTGGAAGCTATTACACAGAATAAACCAGAAACTCTTTATAGTTTTTTATGTGATGATTTTAGATTTGTATGGTATGTTAAGCACTTTGGTCAGCTGTGCTATATAAATAAACTTGAGTTGAGTTGAGAAACAAAGATATTCACTTGAGTTCTGTGGAACTGTGAAGGGGATTTTTGCTTTCTTTTTCACTGTTCAGCCTGATGATGCATGATCTGAGTGCCTTCGACTTCACTTACATGACCTCTGTTTCTGGGCAGTGAGGCCCTTCAGGGATGAGCTTGATGCTCCTCAGACTGTCTGGAGGAATGATCCTGGACTCCACCTGCAGGCACTGACAGTGTGTGTTGTAGTCCCTGCTGATTGGTGGCATGCCTGCCATCAACAGACATACAGATTAGTAGTAGATAAGGCTCAGGCGTCTCTCTCTTGGCAAAGTTTTCATAAATCAGTTGTAAAAATTGTGCAACAGAGAGTGATTCAGTTGTTTTTATGAACAATCAGAACATGCAGATGTTTTCACTTTGGTCTAAAGTGGTTTGAGGCTTGTAAATTGATCTAATTTTTGTCATGTTGGTTATAAATATTAAGATTGTTTGTCAGTTTAAACACTGATACTACACATTATGGTCCAAACACACACCATCAGTAACACAGTTAAACTCTGATTTCAGAGGCTTTCATTTTGCTTAGCCATGCAAAGGTTTGCCAATGTCCCTTTGACATCATGAACTCACTTTCCTCCTGGAAATCCAGTGCTCCTGTAGTTCCTATTTCTTGTTTTCTTTTCACTAAGAACTTGGTATTGCCTTATGACACCTAGTTTCAAATAGCTTGATGAATGAAATGCTGACAAGGCTGTTCTCTGATGCTATGCTTTCATCACTACCACCTTGCCACCATGAAAGTCTTGTGATGGACACATCTCCCTTTTCTTTTTTAGTCATCTTCCTGTTCAGTGAAACATAACCCTATAGATTTTCACTCACTTTTGCTGACTTTGTAAATCACTGTGTTTCTCAAGGGGACAGGACATGACACACGGGTTTAAAAAGTAACTACACACCCACATTCCACTTAAACAAGCAACATCTCTTGCTTTAAAATTGTCCAAGAATCTCCCCATTTGTTTCCACATTGGCAAGCTTCTGTTTTGGCAAAAGTACAACTGCACATAACCTTGTCTACAATATCTCCAACCATCTAAACCCGTTTCCTAGTCTCAGACTTTAACAAGCCACTCATTGCCAAGACCTGAGGAATACTTTACAGTTAGACTCACAAATATTTACTCAATTACAACACAGTGTAACTCTTACCCTTAATGATGACAACCAGGGCCCCAAACACAAGCAGGATGCAGAGCTTCATCTTGATTCTTAGGTTCTTGAGCTCAGACAGATGGCATACAGCTGTTACAACTGTTTGACATAAGGCTGCACACTAGTATTTATAAAGACAATGATCATGTGTTCCTCAGGAGTATAACTGTGTCACACTTGGGGGGGGAAACAGGTTTGTGTATATGTGTGTTTAAGTTGGTTTTACTTTGCTGGATTCACGTGTGCAGCAGAAGACAGTCATGGGATGGTGAGTTCAGGGACCCACCAGAGGCCTCAGTGAGGTTAAAACAGCATGCTCGCGGTCAGCGGCCAGAGGACTGAGTCATACAAAGGATGCGTCTGTCTGCTTGTCATAGCTCTGCAGTAATATTCATTTTGAAAGAAGAAAATAATAAAATGATCATCACTCTGTGTAAACAAGCAGAGCTATACCTGTGACTACAGTACATATGATCCTGTGAGACAGTGTTGATGATGGCAGGTTTTTTCCAGGGAGCTTGTTACAGTTACACTGGTATTTCTGTTACTTTGTTATATGAATGTGTTGTGTTTGTTATTCTAGGCAATAAAATGTTAATTTGGGGTGTAGTCCACTATAGCAGCATGAACTGATGTTGTAATGTAAACATTAGCTCAAATTACAATTAGAGTGTAGATACCTGAACCCAGCCTGATGGGACCCATCGTACACAAAGGTTCAGACAGAAATTTAGAATATGTTCTTGTCCGGTTGAGTTCAGGCATGTGGGCCAAACGTTAGGCTAGACGGCTGGAGGACTCAAATGTCTGCTTCATTTAATAGGAGGAAAAACACTATACAAGCTCAACTGCATCGGGCTCAGTCTTTATATAGCCTACTATAAAGCATGCTGGGTCCTGGTCGGGTTCGGACAGAAATATGCGTCCTGATTCATGCTCTATGGCAGTTGGTGCTTTTCCACCATGGGAACTTAAGGAGTCCTAACCCAGAGCTTCCCATACCTGGAATCTGGTGGAACATGAAGGCTGATGTGGTGTAATTATGGTGCAACAAAACATGCCAGTAAGCAACATGAGTCATTTATTAAAGCAGAACATAAACTCACGAAAATGTGATGTCTGCGTCCCTGAGAATTACCACCCAACCTTGCAGCTTCCCTCAGATCTGTGTGGAGTTGTAATGTCTTTCAGCTCACTGTCTCGTATTCTGGCCAGAAACTGTTTTTGTTCACTCTCACTCAAACTCATCAGCAGAGTTTTTTTTCCGGATGTTTTAAAGAGAAAAGCTCAGAAAGGTCTCGGTACACAGTCTTCCCAGGCCAGGTGAACATAGTGAGCATTTAGCAGCTAAAGAGCCAATAAGCATACAGCCCCAACAACTGTACAGTGTGGGGGTGGGGGTTCTTTGACATATTTTCAATTTACAATTTGGGATTTCAAGTAGAAACTAAAAGGCAAGTGAACGACACACCTCCCTACCAACATTGAATGTTGCTATTGCAATTATTTATCAGGTTTAATCGACTTATCGAGAATGACGATATAAGTAAAATGTCCATTTCCCTCAGTTTAGTTATGGCTGAAAACACCATTTAAATAATTCCATAACTGGATTAACACCTAAAATCTACTTAGTCAGCAATAATTTAGCTAAAGATATATCTGTATCTACATATGTACCAAGTATCATAATTGTATCAAACATAATAATGTATTAAAACATCTGAGACCAAAGACAGAAAGATTAATAAATAAGCAGATGAAAACAAACCACTTTCACTTTGTTTTAAATGCTGACATCCCCTTTTCAGTGTTTTCTGGTTTGACTTGAGAAATATTTTCTTATGATTGAAGGCATGTGTCTTTATCAGAAGGTAAAGTCATAAATGTGGGATAAAGTGTGACATCACACAGTCGCAAGGCCACATGACTGAAAGAAATGATGACTTGCCAAAATTCTTATTTTGATAAACAACCCTGAGGGCATTTTTAAAATTCAAAACACATTGTGACCATAATATCACACTGTTCTGGTTTGATAGGGTCATTTACAATCAATGTAAAGACTGTAATACTAATGAATTGGGGATTTCTTGTTTTCAAAAGCTGTTTTTCAGTTTGAGTTTTCACATTTTGTTTCGAGCTGGAAACTGCTTATTAGTTAATGATAAAATGGCAAAATGTCAGCTTTTTAAAATAATTATTTATTTATTTATCTTTGCATATAAATCCATATTTGCAGAAATAATTTTTCTAAATATACAAACTATGCAAATGAATAATCACATGTGGTGAGAAAAAGCACTGGTTAGTTTTTGCTGTGAGTGTGTAAAGCTGGGAAATGCAACTTTAAAATCTTGTATTTGGCAAAACACATGAAATGAAACATGTTCACTTATTTTGCAGAAGTAAGCAGAAACTCCACCACCCAGCATACTTATCCTTTATTATGGGAGATGTGCTACATTTAAATCTTGCAAACTGAGGCCTCATTTTATTCATAACAAGGTTAAACACAACCACCGTGTTTATGATGTTGGCCGCTACTATGGCTTACACTGCAGCTGAGGTTGTGGCTTGCTATCGTGCCCAACACTGTGGCTGATGATGAGGTTGATTTTGGGCCAGGGGTTGTCACCTTTTTAGAACATCGGGTCCTCTGCCTATGGAAAAAACATACAGTATCACACTCAACATTGAAATTTCAATGATATTTCAATCCTCTGTTCCCTGATAGACTAGGGCTCTCGCCACAGCAGCCCAGGTTCCAATCAGGGTTACATCAAGAAGGGCATCCAGCGTAAAAGCACATGCCAAATGTCAGCATGCCGGGAAAAAGCCAGACGTGACATTCATTCATTCATTCATTTCAAGCCTCTAAAACAGTGGTTTCCAACTTTTTTGTTTGTGACCCCTTAAGAACCTGTGTCTACATGTGACCTCTTTGTTAAGGGTTAGCCCCCCTCGCCAGGAGGGTGAGGGAGGACTAGGGGTAGGACACAAGATTGCTGACCCAGGTGCTAGTGCAAAATAAAGGTTTAATGGGGGAAAAACAAGACAAAGCCAACGTAACAATAAATACAGGGTCCATAATACGTACAACAAAGGGAAGGTAGTGACAACAAAATAGACCGGGACGAACAGGTAAGCAAACAAACTAACGATGGGGAAACCAGGCAAGAATCTAACAGGACAGGTAACAAAGAGGCGGAGACGAAAACGAGACTATGTGTGTATGTGTGTGTGTAGTGGGAATAGCGCCTGTAGTGTCTAAGGAGTCAAGCCAAAACGCAACAGTCACTGTCAGCGTAGCATTCCCTAGTATACATACGTACAATGGCCCATCTGTAGTGCAAAATATCCGTAGCTAATGTTAGCTATGTACGGTGTAACGATGCACGACACAGTGTAATGTTCCGGCGACGGCGGAGCGTCTGACAGAGGTTTAAGTACTGGAAAAAGTAATCATCGGGATGCACCCCAGCTGTGTGCGATGACAAACTGGTTACCAATTACTGGAATGCAACACAGCTGAGGTGCAGAAACAAAACGGGGGGAGAGGGGGGGGCCGCCGAGCGGCCCTGACACTCTTATATCAGGCTGCAAATGTTACTGGTTGGTGGCCAGTAATATTTTGGAAAAAAGTATTTGACTTAGTCTCATAATGCTCTGACAGACTTATATCAATGCTATTAATGCACTTAAGCAGTGATTTGTGACTGATTACCCCCCTAGAAAGAAGCAATATCTACTTGAATTATAACCTGAACACAGAATTATCTGGTAGTTTGTTATAAAAAAAAAATCCAAAGATTAAATAAAAGCCTGAAAAAACAAACAAAATATGGAAGTGAATAAAGTGTGAAAGTCAAAACATGCATTAAACATGCATTTCAATACAGTTTAAAAACTGATTAGAAACCCGTTTCTTTTCCTTTTATCTCAGCTGACATGCAGCTGCAGAACAGCGTTAATTATGTTACTTATCTCCTTTATAAACACTGACTGATGAATGCTCTGAAATCTTCCGGCTGCCAAAAAAATTCAGCCTCTCTAAGAACTTTATTTTGCAAGCCATCTCTCATCTAACTGCATACAGTATATACACTGGCAACCCTGCATTTCTGTCAGATAAGGTGCCGCTTCTCCTTGAAAACTGTTGTAATCACAAATTCTTTGTTTATTTATTTTGTTTGCATTGGAACACAAAAAAGTATAGAAACAAAAAGCCAACTCTGATCCATTCCATGCAGAACTCCAAAAATGGACTGGACAGAACTATTGTCACGCTCAACTTAATATCTGGTAGCACACCCTGTGGACTAAATAACTGAAATCAGACACTTCCTGTAACCATCAGCGAGTTTCTTACACCTCTCTACTGAATTCTGGACCATTCTTCTTGCGCCAACAGCTCCAGTCTCTCAGATTTGAAAGGTTCCTTCTCCCAGCTGCAGTTTTGAGATCTCTCCATAGGCGATCTATGGGATTTAGATCTGGACTCATTGCCAGAACTCTCTGGCGTTTTATGTGAAACCATTTCTGGTGCTGTTTGTAGTCTGCTTTGGGTCATTGTCCTGCTTTAAGACCCATGACCTCTGGTGGAGACCCAACTTTCTGATGATTTTGAAAATGTGTCAATAATTTTGTCCAGTTCTATGTTGAGTGTATCAGATTTGGCTTTTTCCTCTGCTTTTTTGTGTTGCTCCAATGCAAACAAACAAACAAAAAACAAACAAACACAAGAATACCAAAGAATTTGTGATTGCAAAGGTTTTCTGGGAGAAGAGGTGCCTTACCTGACAGAAATGGCAGGGGTTCTAATATTTCTAGCCACGACTATATTAGTTCATGCTGCTTGAGCAATGGTGAATTCACGCATGAAGTGCACCATGTAAAAAAGCCTTTCTTTAGACTTACAATTGGATTAAGGACTGTAGGACATTTTTGGTGAAGTTTTCCTTGGGGTCAAGACACCGTGTGCGCTGATTTCTCAGTGTAACACTGTGGGAGAAGGATTTGATGCAAAACAATTTCATTAGAAGATCCACATTTATGAAGCTCTGAATGAAAAATGCTATTTGTTCATGTCACTTCAGGTACTTACATGACTTCTTTGTTCCTGCAGTATGGACGAGGATCAGACACCTTTACACTGTCGATAAGACAGGGGTCAATAAACTTCTTCGGGCTTAAACACTGGCACCTCTTAATAGCTGGAAGAGTTAAGGTGATAGTGTAATTAACAGTAGCCACAGTTCAGCCTCTCATGGATTCTGCAAATACTGTAAGCTTCAAATAAATGAGCACACTTACTTGCTGAAGAGCCAATGGCCGTGCAGACCAGGAGAATGATGCACTGGGTTGCAATATTCATCTTTGTCTTAAAAATTTGGAATCTTTTGAGTGTCATGTTGCAGCAAACTCTTCTTCTGCGGTGATTTTCTCTCCCCAGATATGAAGAACCTCACTCTTTTCTCGGTCTGCCTGATTGTGAAAGATCTGTCCTCTGCACCTCTTTTTATAAACACACGCAGATGGAAACCAGCCAAGAATGTTTCCAGAGAAGTGATTAAATCTGCATTCCCACACATTTACTACAGCAAAGAAATTCACCCATTCTTCTGATAATTCACTTAAACTCTCAATTTTCACTTCCATAAAAAGACTTCCTGTGAGTCAGATAAGTTCTTCATTGTGGGGCACATTCCATTTATTGGTACTACTTTCAGATAATACAGTACCTAACTTCAACAAGTATTACTCATGAGTCATGGCTGCATATCAACATCTGTGCCTGTTCCCACTTGCAGATAAATGACATCATGCATTAATCTGTTCTGTCTTTGCACATTTACTCTGCACCTCTTTGCTTTTCACCACTATAAGAACATGTGTTTACTTATTGCTAATTGTTAAATGATGTGTAAAGCCCTGACTCCTGCAGTTTGCTGGTGGTTTATTATACTAAACCACTCATTTGAATGGCTACAACATGTGTAACTATTTATTCTCCAAAAGTGCATGGCACAACACAGGAGAGCCAACTCCTTGGGACAAGACCCAGAGATTCATTTGGAAGCAAAAATGCTCATATATTTAGAAAGAAAAGTGAAAGAAACCATCTAGGTCAAACTGTAATGATCACCTCTAAACCGAGGAGGCAGTCTACGACAACACTTATCATCCACTTACAATGCAGTCCTGCCGTCTCTCTCAAGGCAACTGAACACCCATCTACACCTTGAGCTGTGACCAAACCAGCGATTTGTATATTCCTTTCATTTTTTGTGATTTGCATAATTGCATATGTATTATTATATTTTATCATATTTTGTTTGAAAACCCACCATTAGTTAAGTTTTGCAAACTATCATAGGCTGCATTGTGGAATTAATCTAGTCTATGCTAACTTTGTATTGAGGGTGAAATGTGAGTTATATCCAGCAGAAGTGTTGGATTAATGCTGTTATAATAACCTTTTAACATACAGTAAAGATGAATTTGTGGTCAAAACAAATAAACAACTTTGGGTCAATTTCTTTGGTTTTTGTGGACCTTTCACCCACTTTTCATGCTCTTCTTCAGCTGATGGCGTTTGCTCAGTTGTCATGGAAATACTTCAGTTACCATAACATGATATAAGACCGAAGCTTTGGTCATTAACAGG